CTTTGGGTTAGGAGTCCGCCTTTTTTCCTGGGCTTGAGATCTCCATTGTGGAATCTCCCCGGCCTCCTTCAGTTTTAGAGAAAAGCCTCAGATGTGCTGTAAGGCCAGTCAGAGAGCTCTGAAAAAATCATTGTTAGTACAATTGAGTAAAGGAAAGAATTGAGTCTTAATTGAGTTATTAAGAAAGGCAATTGAGTCTTAGTTGAGTTATAGATAGCAATTGAGATATAGAAAAGTTAATTGAGATTTTGAGCTATTTAGTATAAAGGACTATTGAGATAGTTATTGAACACTGTTTGCTTCATCTCCAAAACTAACCTTGGGCTGGAATAGGGAAGGCCTACGCTTTCTAGAAGATAGTAGTTCAGGGTTGGGGTAAAAAGATCTCAGGATTTTTTCTACCATTTGGAGGAAGGCAACTCAGCAACTAGAGGAAAAAAGAAAAAAAAGATCATCTCTATGGTTTCACTAATTGACTGTTTTGTTTGTAACTTTGACAAGCTGTACTAGTCTGCAAGGACTTTGAGAAATAAATATTCTGTTTTGGTGTTCAAAACCTGTAGTAGCCCCAGTTGCTGGGAATCTCAAGCTTCTAAAGAAAGACCCCCACGGTCTGCCCAGACAAAGAGAGAAGCACATCTTAGTTTTATTTTTATAGGATCAGGGTGTGATGGCACAATAGGCAACCCTTACAAATTACTCCTCAGATAATATGATTCATTGGGGGGGGGGGGAAGGGAGACCTATAAAACCTGCACTTCATCAGACAGGACTTAAAGCATGTTTACTTAGAGGTAAAATGCCCAAAGCTTAATGTGGGTTATTTCATGGTAAATCTATTTAGGATTTCAGTCTTCATCCAATACAAAATGAAGCATTGCATTTGGATGCAGAACTGTCTTTAGAGTATAGAATATGATCTGTTTGTGCTTCCAATGTAATGAACAAAGTGGAAACCAAAATATTGAGTGAAAGATGCAAATATATCCCCCATATATTTTTTCAATGAAGAAGATGAATGCATAACGTTGAAATTATGGCATAATGTCCAAAAGAAGATTCCAGAGATGAGTAAAGATGGTAAAAGAAAGGAAGTAAATTCAGTCAATTCAGACCAAGTGAATTAAACATATTGTCTCTAAAGATGACTTGAGTGAATGACTGCCAGACCAAATTATAAAGTGTTTGATTACTTCCATTCAGTTGGGATTGCTTCATAAAGCCTACTGTTTAGGCCAATAAATTCATAACTTTGGAGTGTGTCTCGTATGATAAACACATTTCTTATAACTAAGACCTTCCCTAATGATGTGCTGGCTATAGAGATTCCAAGAGACACACATTTCTGAATTGCAATAATGCTTCATCTAATATTCAATTACCTATATGTCTTTCATGTGTTCCCTTTGGTACAGCATCTAACTCAAATAGATTGCTCACTGTCCCCTAAATAAATTATGTTCTACTCAGACTGCCCTACAGCTCGGTAGTACTAGTTACATGAGCTCTGTGATTATTTAGCAAAACAGACTGCCTGGAAGATATTCAAAGTCTATATCCTGGCCTCTTGTTTCACTCATTACCCTGAAAAGTAATTATGCAAATATCTTACTGGGGTGTTTATTTATTTATTTACAAACAACTCAAAATTTCATTTTCAGGACAGTATGAAAATTCATTTTCAACCCTCTTACAAAAATCCAAATGCCACAGCTATCAGGTAGTGTGCACCATACCTCCAAAACTGAGCGGCTAACAATAGATAAGAAAAATTGTTCCATGCTCTGTCTTGACTGTTTATTGAGGAAAGGAGCACAATAAATTGAGCTGCAGACAATAAAACATCAAGGGATTTAGTTATGCTTGCAGGAGACAGTTCCCGAAGTGTGCATGAGGAACTGAACATGTTTTTCTTTCCTTTTTCTCTCTTCCCATCATTTTAAAAGGGAAAAAATAACAAGCTGGATGGAGAGGCAAAAGAGGAAAAAAAAGTAGATTGATATGAAAAGACATGTTCTCTTCAGAATATCAAAGATGCAAAGGCAGTGAGGTGAGGCAGCTTAGGTTCCCCAGTGAAAGGATTGATAACCTATGCTAGTAAGTTGTAAACAGATGTTATATGAGAAAGCCTCCTAGTTGGGTCTGTGGCCAAGTGGTGGGAACGCCCTTCATAATCAACTCAGTAAGAGAATTTTTCCCCCGGCTTGTACAGTTTAGGCCCCTTGTATACAGCTGTATAAAATCCAGATTATCTGCTTTGAACTGGATTATTTGGCAGTGTAGACTCAGATGATCCAGTTCGAAGCAGTGTGTGTGCATAATATCCGCCTTGATATTCTGGATTATATAGCAGTACAGAAGGACCCTCATATTCATTATTTTAAAATTTAGATATTCATTAAAAAGCAGTGAAACAAATTCATACACATACATGGACCCATGCAATACTACAAAACATCTATACAATAGTTGTATTTGCCCTTCCCTCCTCCCACCCTTCCCATTGTAGTGACTTCCTGTTCTTTGGGTTGGAGACAGTCATATACAATTGTGTTCTTCCCTCCTATTACATGACTTTTCTATTCTTCCTTCTAGAAAAGTATTTTTTGTGCTTTTTCTTTGTTCAACATTTTCAATTTGTCAATTTCTGCTATTTTAAAAACTTTTACAATGCATTCTTCTATTGTTGGGAGGTCCACCTTCTTCCAATGTTGTTTACATAATATCTGTGGCTGTACTTATGAAGTGAAGCACTTTGTCATTTAGTTATTTTATTTGATTTTTTGACATTCTCAATAAAAATAATTCAGGCATTAGTTGTAGCTTTGATTTTAAAAAAATCTTGCAATTTTTTGTACCTTTTTTCAGGACCACCACATGTGAAACAAAGTTCCTTGTTGTTTCTTACATTTCCAACACCTATTGTTTCCTCTCTTATACATTGTAGCAAGTTTTGCTGGAGTCAGGTACCACCTGTTCATCATTTTATAAAATAATTCTCTAAAGTCATAGCAAAGAATTTTCTTTAAGCCAACAGTTCAAATTTTGCCATTTATCCAATTATATGTTGTGTCCAACATTTTGTGCCCATTTAATCATACATTTCTTTATTGGTTCCAGTTCTATTTCCATATTCAGTAATACTTTATGTATATTTTCAATAAGGTGTTCTTCATTAGTACATAATGACTTTTCAAATTTTGATTCTTCTTTTTCAGATCTGATATTTTTACTATTTAATGTGAATCTTTCTTTTAGTTGCCTATATCGGTACCACTGCCAGAGCTATAAGGGTATTATTCAAGAGTGGACATAGTTCAGTGCTAGCAAAAGGCCATTGTTTCTATCCAGGGTATCTCCACAGGTCCTTTCCCAATTTATAATTTTAGCATTATGATTACAAGTAACTATAATAAACAGTTTATTTTGTGATTAGCAGTTTGGGGGAGGGGGTATTTAGAATTTTTAGCCAACCAGCCCAAGTACCTTAGCAAATCACACAACCCAGAATTCCATAAGATGTAGCCCTGGCAGTTAAACTGGAATCATAGTGCTATATTTTCATAATGGGAAAGGATCCAAGGTAAGACCAGAAGAAATTGCTTTCTCAAGTGTGAGAAAACTTGAATGAGAATTGTCACAGTTTGGGATTTGTTATATGTAAAAAAAAGTATCTTGAAGTTTTGGGTATGCAGGAGAAAATAAGAGCAAAAATTCCTTTGCTTGACTTACCTTAAATAGACATATTGGAAGAATGGGATTGACCTATGTATTGACTTACCATTTATTGCTTCATTGAATGGGTTTACTGTAGCTAGGATTAACCAAGGGAGAATGAAGGAAATCTCTTTTCTGTACAAAAAATATTTGTGCAGAAAACCTGCATGCATTTTTTTACAGATTAAATCTCAAACTGAATATTTCTCAAAGCTGTATGTTTTCAATGACCTTGTGAAGGTGAGGGAAAGTTAAAATGATTCATTCTTTTTTGCAAGAATAAAATTTATCAAGGTTTACATTTTTATTCTGGACTATTTCGGATAGGGACTTTGCTATCCATAAGGTTTCACACTTCCTGGAAAATTCAAAAATTATGCTTAGAGGTGCATATAAAAATGTGAATTCTGAATGAGGAATTTCCTGGTGGATGCTCAGAGTCTGTCAAATCAGAATCAAACCAAAATGAGTGCTGAAATTCAACTGATCTGGATCATTAGAGCAATTCATCTGAGGCCCCTTCTACACTGCCCTATTTTCCAGGACCTGATATCAGATTATTTGTTTATTCCAGATTATCAGGAAGTGAAGACTCATATAATCCAGTTCAAAGCAGATAATCTGGGATCAGATCCTAGGATATAAGGACAGTGTAGAAGCGGCCTGACATTCAAAGAGTGAAGGTCTTTGAGTATCAGAATATTTTTTGCCAGTACCTGCTAGATGGTAGGTCTAGCAGGGCATCTGAACGCCCTTCTTCCGAAAAGCACGAGCTTATTGGGTCATGTTTGGACTTAAAATCCTGTCTGAAACCGTCCTAAGAGAGCCTCACTTGTCCAAAGTCACCCAGTGAGTTTCCATGGCTGAGCAGGGATTTAAACCTTGGTTTCCCAGTCTTCCAGTTAGAAGCCACATTATATAGTCAGTGTAGACCCGGATAATGCATTAATGTATATGAGTCTATAGTGACCTTATATAATATAGTTTCATGCAACACATCTAATGTAAGTGAAACATATTGCAAAGTGCTCATACCTTGACTTTGGCAGGAGCAAGAAGCACACCTGTTGAAAATTATTTCTAAACATGTACCAAATTCCCAGAATGAAAATATCTCTGTTAAATTCCTTCAAAAGGCTGCTAGATCAGAGACCTGGCTTTGGGGATTTTTCATTATATATTTCATGCACTGTGCAATGTTTTCCTTTGCTTTCAGGGAATGTCCAGAACAAATAATATGAAAGACAAGGACTGGGGCTTTAATTTGTCAGAGATCTTTATTCTGAAGGGTTTACTCTCAGATTGTAGCCTGCAAGCTATCTTCAGTTTAAAAACAGAGAATAAAATAAATGGAATATGAGAAAATATAATTGCTTTCTCTCCCACAGCTTACTTCTGTGTTTCCTCTTATAAAAATAGTTCATTAAGTTGTAGTTGAGGTTGGTCTTTGGAAAGCAGCCTGAACATTTCTCAGCAGTCCCCATCTGCCTTTGACTTTTGCACGCAAATCTGGAGTCACCACCTAGTGGAAAACCAAAATGCAGTCTTTAGTGGGTTTTGGTTGCAGAAATAGTAACAGCATGAGGTAGATGTCTTAAAAGGCAGATGATGAAGCCAGGCAATTGGCACATTTATGTAAGATAATGGTGTGCTTTCCATTGGGGTAATTAGTGAAGAAATTGACAAATGCAGGAATAGATTTGTCTCTACATGGTGCTCACAGGGCTAGGAGAGGAGGCTTAGAAACAATACTTGCTATCCTCCACATGCATATCAGCATTTTAACCTTATTGAAAATTGCATCTTCCCTACATAACCTACACACAGCTGGGTCTTGGATGCATCATCTCAGTTGCAGAAATTTAATCTGCCCTATAGATAGAACTTGGAAATTTTCCTGTTTTGAACTACTCCCAGAAATCCCAAGCCAGTACAGCCATCTGGCTATCTCACTATTTGACGTTTGGACTTGGCTTCCCGGCCCATCCCAAGGGCGGCTGCCTGACTCTCTGGCCTCTGCAGAGCCTCCAGAGCCATGCAGTCAGCAGCAGGCCAGGGAAGCAGGCCTTCCCCACCGTGCTTCAGGCCGCTGCACTTCCGGGGTCTGTGGAGGCCAGAGAGGCAGGCCTTCCCCACCGCGCCTCAGGCCGTCGCACTCCCAGGGTTCCTGGCCTCCACTGGATGTAAATATTTACAAACTCATAACAGCTATCATTTTCTACATTAAATCACATGCTATATATAAAACTATGGAACTGTGATTGAGATTTGAAGATACAGTTTTCAAAATAATGTAAAATGTCATTGTAAATCAATGTTTTTCTCTGCATTATATAAACTTGGTAAAAAAAATACACACAAGATGGACTAAATTGTACCTTACAAATTTCACTCCATTCGCCTGGTCCATTTTCATTCACAGCTCGAACTTTAAAGAGATATTCTGTATTAGGCGTTAGGTTATGTATTTCTAGATTCTGTTGTTCAATCCCAGTAAGTACACCGATCAGTTGTGGCTGAACTATATTCTCAATTGCATCTTCATCAACAACTTCATAATAAGCAACCTCAAAGCTTTCTACATCTTCTGTAGGACATGTCCAATAGATCTGTGAAATAAAAACATGTATATATATATATCACTGAAGATATTTTCATGTTGTATTTAATGAAGTAACATCATTAGTAACACCAATTTCAGTGATTTTAAAAACCCTTCTGAATGATAAATATTTGCAAATTTAAAAGCAACAAGTTATTTTTTTCCTATGAAGAGCATATGTCATGATACCAATATTAAGGAACCCTAAGCACATTTTCTACCTCTTCTCTGTGGATATAATGGAGCAAAAGGCTTACAATTAGAGCACAGGACTGAATATAGAATATATATTCAGAGAAATATGCCTTCTATTTTGTTGGTATATCTGTTAGGAGGCCTTTCATTGGTAAAACTTGCTTAGAACAGATAGGTTCCTTGCTTGTCACAGTAGTAAAAATCCTGCATGATGAGTATGAGGTACAACACCCATAATTCACAACATTTTAACCTTTTCCCAAACAAGAATAGAACCATAGAATCAGACGAGATCACAAAATCCACCCAGTCCAACCCCATTTTTTCTTGCATTTGAAAACATTGCTTCATGTTCTACTCTCAAGAGCACCAGAAAGCAATATTGCCCCCTCCCCAATAAGGCATTCTTCCAAATATTTAGAAATGGCTACAAATTCTCCCTAAACCTTTTCTTCTCAAGCCTAAACTTATCCAATTTCTTATAGGGTTTAGACCTTTTACCATTTTGATTGCCCTTCTCTGGACACATTCCAGCTTGATAATATTCTTATTGATCCCTTTCACTCATAGATCCTTTTCACTTGTAATTTTTCCAGCCAAGTGTCACCCATCTTAAATCTGGGCCTATATTTATTTTTCTGTCCATGTGAAGTACCCTACATTTCTCCCTGCTGGAATTTTTTTAAAAAATGTACCTAGCTCTCTAAATACCTGTTAAGATTATTTTGGATTCTGATTGTGTGCTTTTCTTTCCAATTTGGTGCCATCTGCCAAAACCATGCTCCATAGTCAAAGTTGAATAACACTGAGTCCTGGATACAACTCTGTGGCATCCAACTAGTCACTTTTTGCTCCAATTAATTGAGTGATAGCAAGCATCAGGTTTGGCTGGTTAGAACAATTTCCAATCCATCTAACAGTAGCCCACATTTTACTTGCTTCTTTTGGAAAATATCATGGGAGACCTTTCCAAAGGCTTTACTATTTGCGAAATCCACAGCATTTTTTTCATCTATGAAGCTTGTAATACTCCCCCGGCCCCTTTATACATGAGATAAAATTAGTCTGCCATGATTTGTTTTTTAAAAACCCAAGTTTCACACTAAATGGTCATACAGAAAGATGGCTGCACAATTCTGAAGAATAGCATGCAAGGTAGTGTAGAAAGACTTTGCATGAGCAATTAGCAAAAATTGTTTTCCTAATGTCATCCAATAGAAACCTCTTCTAGGGTTAATATCTTCTGCTAACAGAAGATCTTCTATTCAATCTATATGGCACCTTCACTCATGTGTGGTTGAATGTGTGGTTGAATGTGTTGTTGAAGGCTTTCATGGCCGGAATCACTGGGTTGCTATGAGTTTTCCGGCCTGTATGGCCATGTTCCATAAGCATTTCTCCTGATGTTTTGCCTGTGTCTATTTGGTTGCAGATTGGTTCATCAAGTGCTCTGCTATGGTTGACTTATCTGGTTGGATTAATCTGCAGTGCCTTTCATGTTCTTTGATTCATATTTGGGCATTGCTGAGTTTGGGGGTCCCTATGTAGACTTGTCCACAACTGCATGATATCTGGTTCTGCAGAAGTGAGAGGATCCCTCTTGGCCTCTGCTGAACATAGCATTTGTTGGATTTTCTTAGTGGGTTGGTAGATAGTTTGCAGGTTGCATTTCTTCATCAGCTTCCTTATACAGTCAGTTGTTCCCTTGATTTATGGTAATAACACTTTTTCTCTGGGTGGATCTTTGTCTTTACTCTTATAGATTGTTCCAACCTGGACACAGCATATTATCTGAAAACACAGATATGCTGGACCACTCTAACAACTACCATGTCAGACTACACAGAGAATCCATTGAAATCCACAAGCATGTGGACAATTTCAACAGAGAGTAGAAAACCATGAAAATAAACAAAATATGGCTACCAATATTTTTTAAAAAATACTCTAAAATCAGGACAGTGAATAAAGAACAACATTCAGAAAACAGAGAAATTCCAGACATGAATCAATCAGGGCCAGCTAACACTGCCCAACAAAGGATTCCCCCAGGCAGTATACAGCCAGACCTTGAAACTGAAAGGCTAATCAATGCTAATCAAGGTGGTCAAGTGAAACATTCACATCTGCCTCAAACAGACAAGAATTCTTTCTCCCACCCTGAGCATTCCTCAGGTATATAAACCCCACTTGCATAGTTTCCAACATATCTCACAACCTCTGAGAATGCCTGCTATTGATAAAGGTGAAACATTAAGAGAAAATGCTTATGGAACATGGTCATACAGCCTGGAGAACTCACAGCAGCCCACTGTTGTTGAACGGTTTGAGAAGACACTTCCAAAGGACCTCCCAGAAATTGATTTTTAGACTTCTTTCTTGTAACACAATGAGAGAATTCTGTAAAAAATCCCCCGATACCAAAGTTCTAGAATATGTAACCATTAGGCCTGGGTAACAACAGAAAAAATTGTTTCTAAAATCGATTCGTTTTTTGGGGTTTTTTGCGTTTCGATATTTAAAAGAATTCCGATTTTTTTTAAAAAAAAGTTCGATATTTACGAAATTTCGTAAATGGTAAAAAAATTACAAAACAATAACGAAACAATAACGAATCGATTCGTTAATGGCGGACGCGACCGCGCAATACGCTAAAAAACCTCCAAATGGGACAGGGGGAACTTCTGAAGCTTCCCTCTCCCTCTGTTGTTGACTGTTGGTGTGATATTATAATTTTTTTTCACTAATTAAACAAAAAACTTGCCCCAGACATGCGGAAATAATAACGAAACGACCTCAAAACAATAACGAAACGAATACATAACGAAATACGAAGCATTTACGAAACGAATTGAAAATTCGTTTCGTTTTTAAGCTGCTCCAGAATGGTTCGTTATCGCTTCGTTAACAAAAAAAATAACGAATCTTTAACGAATTACGAATTAACGAAATGAAACCGCCCAGCCCTAGTAACCATACTTCTGGAGTTGCCTTTTACTTAATTATATTGTAATACTAAAAGAGATCAATATGACTAGAAAATGTTTGTGTATATTTTTCTAATGAGGATTTACCAATGTTAAAATAATTGGATTTTAATTACTGAATGCTCTCAGAGCACAATACACATTTCATACAATATTTTAGGCCACCCTTTATCCCCGAAAAGACTCAGTGTGGTATACACACAAAAAGGCAAACATTCAATGCCCTACATAAGTACAAACACATCAAAAATACAGAGTAATGGAGGGACTTCCGGTGGACATGGCGACGGGACTGCCTCGCTGAGAGTGAGCTCCCAGCGAGGACCTGTGTTGTGGCGGCTAGGTTGAGCTGAATGCTCCCCCCTTTGCCGGATTGAGTTTGCAAAGGTGCCGCGAATCCCAGTGTGGGCTTGAGACCCCAAAGATCTCCCCCCCCTCAAGGAGGAGAGGTCGAGTGGGTCCGGGCAACACAGGGGAAAGCGAGCCGCCCCACGAGGATCGAACCGCAAGGTCCGTTTAACCGCCGCCGATCCATTCACAAATTAGAAGAAGAAGTTGAAATAAAGAAAGCCCAGATTGGGTGGAGAAGCAAGAAAGACCCCAGCAACAGGTAACGGGACAAGATCCCACACTTTTAAAGAATAAATAGCCAAGCCGTAAGGGCTTGGGGAAATAAAGAGAGAGAAGGAGATAAGAAGAAAAGAAGCCGCAGGATTTAAAGAGGAAGAGATCACATTTTTGGTCTCCGGTCTCTCGGTAGTAATATCTGATTGATTGATTAAAATATATACAAATTATAATAAAATTTAACTTAAATTGGCAATCTAAATTGATGAATTTAAATCATCGAAATTAGAGGCAAATTTAGAGGAAAAACCGCTCTGCTAAAGTAGATGAAAATGAAGACGAAGATGGAGTGATAGCCCCCCTTCGCATCCCCCCCGAAAATCTAAAAGAAAGTAGAAAACTGATAATATCTCCGACCTTGACGCCATAACTGTTGTGTCTATCTTCAGCCTTCTTTATAAACAAGTAGGCTGAGTTGGCGGGAGGAAGTGACGGAAACGGAAACGGAAGGCAGATTAAAGTGAAAGGTCGGAAGAAAGGTCGGAAAGGTCGGAAGAAACATAGAAGGGACAGAGGGGCGGAAGTGACGGGGCGGAAGGAGGGAAGACGCCATTTTGAAAACCATAGAGAAAGTCCGATACAGAGCGGCTAGAGAAAAATTGGAAATAAATTGGAAATAAATTGGAATTAAATTAAGGGAAAATCCGAAAATCCGATAGAGAAGTAGAGGGCAGGAGGAGACAGATCGAGGACGAGAAGTAGACGATTCGAGGACGAGAAGCAGACGCTTGAGGTGAGGAGACGCGGACGAGGCGAGGAAGAGAAGTAGACGAAGGGCACCGAGGACGAGGACGAGAAGCAGACGAAAATAGATAATTCGAGGACGAGAAGCAGACGAGTTGAAAGAAATGGCAACCCCAGGCAAACCAGAATCCCGGAGGGGGTCTCTGGATATAAACCCAAAAATGGACAACCTATTAAAAGAAATAAAAAAGATTTCGGAAAAACAAGATGCTTTGAAAGTGGAATTGAAAGAGGAGGTTAAGGCTAAACATGAAGAATATTATAAGAAACAAGAGGGAATTATTACAAAGATGACAGAAGAATTCAAGGTCTTGAAGTCTGAAATAAAGCAAGAATTTGGCCAGATAAAAGAAGACATATCGCAACTACATGGAGAGGTGAAAGAATTAAAAGTCTCTAAAGAGAAAATTGAGGGAACACAATCAGAAATGGCTCAGAAGATAAAAGGACTGGA